AATTTTCTCCCCGATCATTAGACACACCTCCATCAGGACTATTTTGGCAATGGTGGCTAATTTTGATTTCGAGTTAGAGTAGCTGGATGTGAAGATTGCTTTCCTTCATGGTGATTTGGAGGAATAGATTTTCATGGAGCAGCCAGAGGGGTTTTTGGAACTAGGAACAGAGAATCTTGTGTGTAAACTGAAGAAGTCTTTATACGGGCTTAAGCAGTCTCCACGGTAATGGTACAAAAAGTTCGACTCTCATATGATTCAGATTGGCTATAGTTGTTGTGAGTATGATTGTTGTGTTTACTACAGAGTTCTTGAGAATAACTCATATATTTTCTTGATGTTATATGTGGACGACATGCTAATTGCTGCTACTAACATGGATGAGGTAGACAAATTGAAATCTTTGTTGAGCAGTAAGTTTGATATGAAAGACTTGTGACTGGCTAAGAAAATTCTTGACATGGAGATGAATAGAGCTAGGAAAGCCAGAAAATTATGGGCGTCAAATGAAAAAAATTATTTGAAGAAAGTGTTAGAGAGGTTTAGCATGTCAGATGCAAAATCAGTTGCTACACCACTGGCAAATCACTTCAGATTGTCTAATAATTAGTGCCCAAAGAGTGAAGAATAAGTTGCAGAGATGTCAAAGGTACCTTATGCCAGCGTAGTTGGATGCTTAATGTATGCAATGGTGTGTACCAGACCAGATTTAGCACATGCAGTCAGTGTGATTAGTAAATATATGGCTAATTCTGGTAGAGAGCATTGGAGAGCTGTAAAGTGGATTTTCAGGTACTTGAAAGGTACAATGGAGTGTGGGATCATGTTTGAGAGACAACATGGTGATATTTCAGTTCAAGGATATGTAGATGCAGATTATGCAGGGGAATTGGATGACAGAAGGTCCCATACAGGTTATGTTTTCACACTCGCAGGTGGGCCCATATGTTGGAGATCAATGGTGCAGTCACTTGTGGCATTATCTCCAATTGAAGCAGAGTACATGGCGACAACTGAGGCAACCAAGGAATTATTGTGGTTGAAAGGGCTAGTCAGGGAATTTGGGATCAAGCAAGATGTAATGAAGCTGTACTGTAATAGTCAGAGTGCCATCTTCCTAGCGAAGAATCAGATTTATCATGCAAGAGTCAAGCACATTGATGTGAGATTTCATAAGATAAGAGAGTTGGTAACTTCGGGAGAGCTGTTGTTAGAGAAGGTGCATACCTCAGAGAATGCAGCAGACATGATGACAAAGCCAATCACAATGGATAGGTTCAAGCACTGCTTGAACTTGATTAACATCTCTAGGTGTTAGAGAGGATGTGTCCCAACCCATTGGTCCTAGATGGTGTGGTTTTTTCCAAGTTATGTTTTTTCTCCTGTGGGGTGAATATTCGCTAAGGTGGAGATTGTTGTACATGTGGCTCATATAGAGTGGAACATAGGTCCTAGATCAAATGGGCCGATGCCGGTGCGGGGACAATGCCCCGTGGTACGGTACAGGGGTATTTTCTGTACGGGCCTTAAAATCTTATAGGGCCCAGGCTAGTGTTAGTGTAAATAATATGTTGTAACCCTATTTTTCACTACTGAATAAAGAAATCTCCGCTTCACTCTCGTGGACGTTGGCACAGTGCCGAACCACGTAAATTCTTGTGTTGATTTTCTTTTTTATCTCTTTAATATTGCACATAAAATCCAACACCACTTGATCCCGTCTAGTTAGTGCGTACTCAATAAACTCGAGAACTCACTACCATAATCAAACTCTTCACTCCTTTCTTTCCTATGCTCCTGTCTACCGGATCCCCTAGCATTAGATACTTCAACCTTATGTCCCCTACTAAGATTAGCCACCGATGTATCTAACCTTGTCATCCAAGCTTCTTGCTTACCCATCCAAGCTTCCTATCTGTCCATCCTATCCTCAGATCCCCAAGCGCCCTTTCAAACTGTAATATCAAATTGTCCAACTCGTTGTTGTGATTGCCATTTCGACTGGAATTGGAATCTTTCCTTTCAGACATCCTAATTCTAGAAATTTTCTGCCTCATCGGTATTCACTCGAAATCACACAATATGGCTTTTACCCTTTATTATTCTCACTACTTTGCCTTTTACCGCTCAGTGCTTTCTCCAAATGCTTCAATGAACAAGGTGAACTTAAAGAAATTCAAACCCGTGGATTCTCAACCGGATGTGAACAAAGAATATGACTTAAGAAAAGGAATTCGACGATGGAAACTCAAATTGAATAGAAGACTATTAAAATTCAGGAATTAACTGACACGAAATTTAAATTGATGGAAAAGGAATAACGAGACTCGAAAGTTAAAATAAACGTTGTTGGTAGTAAATTGAACACTAACAAAATAATAATAATTTTCCTCTTTTTTTACCTTTAAAAAACAAAAGATCAAACTACCAACAAACCAATAAAATGGGTTTGGATGCTAGAATAGCTCCAAAACAATCTTTAAAAAAAATTGACGATAATTTAATCGAATCAAAAGACTCAAATAATGAAGAACAACGATGACATGGAGAAGGACGAAGAAAACACGAATTAAAATACTCAAACTTTAATGACGCACAAAGAACACGAGGAAATATAAGATAAAATGCAGAAACAAAGATCAAAGACTCAATAAGGAAAAGTAAAAGGATATAACCTGTTAATATGAAGCCTGTGCTCTGATGACAACTGATGCGAACCCACATAATAACGATGGCTACGGAACCCACAGGAGATTGATAGAGAACCCAAAAAAACCCAACAATAACGGTGATTAAAGGATCCCTTGATTACACGATCAAAGACCCACACCCAGATTTGAGAATGCCACAATAATGTAATTCTTGATAAGTTCAAAGTGTTCAATGAAGAACAAGAGTTAAAAACAAATAACCTTGCTATTGAATTTCTCAAGGAATAATGTAATGCAATGTTTTTACAATCAAAGGAAATAATATATTTACACTAGACTCCAAAAACCCTAAAAATCTATAAGAAAACAAAACAACAATCGTGTAACGTCCCAAATATTATCGACTAAAAATTTGGGGTGTTACCGATATCCTTCCATAAACGTGCTTGATACGGAAATATTTTCTTGAGAATTTAAAACCTTTAATTTATTTGAACTCTTAGATACTAAATAAACTAAACATAGTTTCATAAACTTTAGAACATTAAATAGAAACAAAGAAAACACACCAAGTACTCTTAACAAATTTATTTGTGAACATTTCCCTAAAGGTTTTACTTGGAAGTCCGTGCACCACTCACTACCATTCACGTCGACCGCACTGACCTGAAATATTAAAATTTGAAGGAGTGAGTAATTATACTCAGTAGGATATATGCGTCCAAACAATATAATAACTTTTAAAACATGAATTCATAACATTTCATACCATCATCTTGTCATGAACAATCAGTGACCAATCGAATGCTCTAACACATTTGAAAAGACCCGAAGAAGATCTCACATTTCATTTCATTTCATAGGAACCTGGAAGTCAATTAGCATTTTATGAAATAAATCACGTAAAAAAAATTATGATATTGTAAGGACGGAATAACTTGCACATAGTATCCTGCCTTGATTGATAAAAAGAATAATTGTTGGAAGGAAAGTCAGAATTCACGTTCCCAAAACTTTTCGTTGTTGCCGTGTCTATATGCCAAGAAAATTGTCGAAATGAATTATAAAATAAATCATGAGTTAACTAATGATTCCGAGCCAAAAAAAAAAAATTTAATAAATAAATAAAAGTTTGTATACCTTGCGGATTAAAGTTGATTCCCAACTGCACCAAATTCCAAATTGCAAAAGTTGTATATATATAAATGGGCAAAGTCCTTATTTTAAATCTAATGGCATCTAATTAGGTATAAATGGCGTTAACTAGTTAAAAAAAACCAAAAAGAACCGTTTGTTTGTCAATATTTTATTCTATTTACTTATTTAAAATCCTTAAATTAGTCCCACTAATTAAAATATCATTATGCTATTAAATGTTATTATTATAGTAGGGTAGACAAAATTCCTAATATTGAGGCAAAATCTGTTCCATCAAAATAAAATTAGAAAGACCTTCCAATTAATGGGGACACCAAAACAGACATTTCCCTAAATTTTATATTGCAAAGATAACACATGCGTAATCCAATTCCCAATTTGCTAAAATGAATATGGTAAATCATAAATAAAAGAAATAATTACATAAATTACTATTTGATAGTTGATATAAAAAAATTTCATATAAAATCCTCATGATCACTAAATTCAAGATTAAATTTAGAAGAAATCGAAACAATGCTGTTAGTATAACAACGTAATTAAAATTTTAAAATTTGGCATGCATGCATTATATTTAAATGTAACAATTTCTAAAAAAAAATAAAAAAATGGGGCACATGACATCATTGGAACACCTTTTGACCACCCATCACATTAATTTTAACTCACTCCAAAGCTAAATAAAATTGTGCGCCTATTGAAATTAAGTTTAATATGTATGCAGGTAAAACAATTAAATTTATTCTATAAAATATTAAGGGCGCTTCAATCTCCCCTCCTTTAATTAATTTCGTCCACGAAATTATCTTATCTAGGTGAAAAGTCCTAGGACCTTGATCTCCTCTTCTCCAAATTTCTAAAAATTTTCCTTCTTCTCAAAGCATCATATTGTTGCCTAAATGTTTCCCAACCAATCTATTCCTAAGATGAAATTAAAAAAAATAAAAAAATACTTCATCTCTAAAAGTTATATGTTAGCTACCAATTCTAGTCCATTCATCTTGATTGTCCTAGTCATCAATTGATATTAAGCACATTGTCTAATGAGGTAGTAACTTCTAGAATATCAATGGCTTCTTAGCAAATAGTACGAGATTTAGTAATATTATAAAAAAAAGGAATGAGCAGCCCTGCGAATATAGGAACATAAGCAAGTAGTGCAGATATTGATAAGGTAACTGCCGTGATGACTTAATTTTCAGTTTCCTCCTTTTGGGTTAAGGCAAACACTTTGGCTGCTCCCTTTTTGCTTTGTTTGTTCTCCCGCTTTGGTGGAGGTTCATGGCAATTTGTAGCAATATGACCATGTTTTCCACATCGATAGCACACATTCTTTCCATACCAACACTTGCCTCTATGGGTCTTATTGCACTTGACAGAGAGTAAGAACATTATTCGGCTTGCTTGACTCTGCCCACCTTTCAGAACTAGTCCTCTTGTTTTGTCCATTTCCTTTATCCTTGTTCGGCCCATTCCATTTCCTCTTTCCTGAAAATTCAGTGCTTTCTCACATTGTCTGATCAATTTCTGATCAATTTCTAATCAATTTGAAATTGCGTGCGTAAGCTCATTGTAGAACCTGACTATATGTGGTGAATTCATGAGATGCAATGATTCCTTCAATTTCTGGGTGAAGTCCGAGTTCAAACCTTCTAGTTTTCTTTTGTTCTCTATCTATTAGATGTGTCGCGTACCTAGAAAGTTGTTCAAACTTTCTCTCAAGTTGATCAATGCCATCTTTCCCTGCTTAAGTTGCAGAAATTCCGTCTCCTTATGATCTCTTAGGGCTTGTGGGAAGTATTTTTCCATCACCTCCTCTTTGAAACGTGCCCATGTAAGGTTGCTTTGTTGTGTCTCAGTCCTAGTACGTGAAGCGGACTCCCACCAGTGGCTCGTCGCATCCACTAGCATGAACTTCGCACATAAAACCTTTTGGGCATCAATGCAGCTGAGATGCTTAAAGATTCGATCCAAACCCCTTATCCATCCATCGATTGCCAAAGGACCAGCCATCCCGTTAATGGTAAGGGCTTATAATGATGAAACTATTCCACAACTGAGCTTGTGGTGTTGGAGTTAGTCTGTGCATACTGAGGGGGCATCTGTGTTTGCTGCCTACCAAGATCTTGCACAGCTCTCAACAAATTTTTAAACATAGCGATCTTTGTTGGTTGACGTGCCATTTCTTTTAAATCAACTGAATAAATTTCGTCTTAGAAATAGTCAACAACATCTCAATATATTCGAATGAAAAACTCAGTTTCATAAGATTTTAAATCCTAGAATACATGAGGGACGATTGAGAGAATTAAATCATATACAATGAAGAAAACCCACGGATTATTCCAAATACTGATTACATCCATTTTTTTGGACGAGATCATTTATTTAAACTAAAATATATCTAGGTTGCTAGTCTTCATCTTCGCTTGTCCAACCATTTTGAATCCTACGAAGTTTAGGTAGAGGGGCTTCATCATCCAAGGTTATATATGATTCAAGCCCAGATTCCTAGTCAACCTCTAGTTTAGGGTCTAGTTCGAATTCTGGCTCATGCTCTAGTTTTGGCTCTGGTCCTGGTACATACTCTGGTTCGTTTTCTGGCTATGACTCAGATTCATAATTCAGCTTCTCTTTTGGGTCTTCCTCAGGGTCCTCCTCTAGGTCAGGTTCGAGCTCGAGAGTAGAAATCTACCTATCTAAGAAAGTTTCACAGAACAGCTCGAACTCAATTCTTTATGGGTGCTCTAGAGGGTTAGCCTATAGTATTTCGTCCCTAACCACAATGTCCATGTCTCCCCACTGAGGTGGTAGTGTATGGATAAGGTTGTTAATAGCTTGGAGGGGTATAATCTCATGTCCTACCCCTCTTGCTACAGCCCACCTTGCGAAGACTTCCACTACATGTTTAATAAGTGTGTGAGTTGGGTCAGCTTTATAATTTTCATAGGCTTGAATAACTATTGCCCCATGGTTTGTAACAGCTCTACAAGTCGTTGTCTTCCTAGCGATCTCTATAGTTCTTGCCATGTCTGTCACATACACGTCAAGTCCAATTATGCTTAATATTTTATTAGTGATAACATATTGCCTTTTATGCTCGCATATTCATAATGCAGATAATATGAAATATTATACTTCTATCGAAAGTTCATTAAAAGTATGCGATAAAAATAATTCATGAATGGAAGCAAATATATTTAACATCATGCTCGCAAGTCATATTAGAATATAACATTTCATCTCTTGTTGAACATTTCTCGTATTAAATATAAGAATATATATCTCATGCTCAAAATTAAATTTGAATAAAACATATTATATAATACCTTCAGTCCGTCAGATAGTAGTTGATTGGTAAATGCCAGGTGCCAAGATCTTTGTTAAAAATCTTGTTAAAAAAATGTTTCTCGGTCTTTTTTTCTTTTTTAAACTTGGAAAACAAAATTGAAGAAATTTTGAAGCTTCGTACTATGTGTAGATAATGAAACATACAAGAAGCAATTGGAAAATTTTAGCATATTATGCATTAACTCGCAGAAAGTGAATTTTAAAGGATAATTAGTGATTAACCTCCTCCCCCTTTTTTTCTTTCATTTAATCTAGTACAGTTTTGAACTAAAAAAATGCACTACAATTAAATGAACGTGAATACTGTTATAAAAGTGAAGAAAAGAAAAGAGAACAAGGAGAAATCAATAAACTTGTGTGTCTTTTATTATGAACTAAAGCCCTGTATTTATATGGCAGAATTAGGGATAAACAGTAATTATTTCTAGAGCTGCAGGAGTATAATTGTCATTCACCTCTAAACCCTAAAACTTTCCTTTTACAACACTCCCCCTTGAATGACACATTACAAAATATTTGCTTCATTAAAACCTTGTTTGATAAAAACCTAATGGGAAAAAAATCAAAATGAAGGAAAAAGAGTACAATTATTTTGGAGTATTAAAAATAAATGTTGTCTCATTAAAACCTTGTTAGGAAAACTTAGTGGGACAAACCTAAGTTAAGGAAAAAGAGTATAGCTACTCTCCTTGATATTGATCAATGAAAATTTTTTAGTCTACGCATTCCAATCTCAAGATCTAATTTCTTGAATGTAGATGTTGACAGTGCTTTTGTGAGTAAATCAGCCACATTGTCACTTGAGAAAATTTGTTGGACATCGATGTTGCCATTCTTTTGAAGCATGTGTGTATGAAAGAATTTTGGAGAAATATGCTTCGTCCTATCACCTTTGATATAACTTTCTCCAAGTCGTGCAATACAAGCTGTATTGTCTTTACACAAAATTGTTGGACTATCATTTGTTGAGGTTAATCCAGATGATGCTTGGATATGATGGATCATGTTTCTCAACCATAAACATTCTTGACCTGCTTCATGAATTGCAAAATTTTGAGAGTGATTTAAAGATATTGCTGTCAAGGATTGCTTCACAGATCTATATAGCCATTCTTCCACGTGTAAACACATAACCAGTTTGTGATTTAGCTTTACGTGGGTCAGATAGATAACCGGCATTTGCATATCCCACTAACGCAAATCCCAACTTTTGAAAATAAAATAATCTCAAATCAATAGTACCCTTTAGGTAACAAAAAATATGTTTAACACCATTCCAATATCTTTGAATCGGTGTAGAGCTATATTTTGCAAGAGATTTACAAAAAAAGCTATGTCAGGTTGAGTGCAATTTGCAAAATAAGTTAATGCTCCAATTGCACTAAGATATGGTACTTCAGGACCAAGAACCTTTTCTCAATCTTCAAGTGGACGAAAATGATTTTTTTCACATTAAGTGATCGAACAACCATAGGTGATGCCAATGGATGTGCATTATCAATATAAAAACGTTTAAAACTTTTTCTATATACGTAGATTGATGAACAAATAATTTATCCATGAAATGTTCAATTTGCAATCCAAGAAAAATTTTTGTTTTTCCCAAATCCTTCATCTCAAATTCATTTTTCTAATAATCAGCAGTTTTGTTGAGCTCTTCAGGAGTTCCAATTAAATTTAAATCATGAACATAAATTGCCACAATTGCAAATCCAAGATCTGTTTTCTTTATGAAAATACATGGACAGATATTGTCATTATTATAACCCTCCTTCAACATATATTCGCCAAGGTGATTATACCACATGCGTCCGGATTGTTTTAATCCATATAATGATCTTTGCAATTTAATTAAGAGCATATTTGTCGGGCATGTATCATTTGTTCCTGGTACCTTAAGTCCTTTAGGGACTTTCATATATATGTCACTATCAAATGAACCATACAAATATGCAGTTACTACATTCATAAGGTGCATATCAAGCTTCTGTGATACTGTCAAACTAATTAAGAATCTAAAAGTGATGGTGTCCATTACAGGAGAATATATTTCCTCATAATCAATTCCTGGTCTTTGAGAGAAACCTTGAGCTACTAGTCGGGCTTTGTACCTTATAATTTCATTATTTTCATTTCTCTTTCATACAAAAACACATTTGTATCCAACAAGGATTACATTTTCGGGTGTTCGAAGAATTGGTCCAAACACTTTTCTTTTCTCCAAAGAATTCAATTCCACCTGTATGACTTCTTTCCATTTTGGCTAATTATTTCTATTTTGACAGTCTTTAACTGATTGTGGTTCAGGATCCTCATTTTGCATAATATCAAGAGGCATATTAAAGGTGAAAATATTATCTATAACAATATTATTTCGTTCCCATAATTTATGAGATAATATATGATTTATTGAAATCTCATTATTTTCGGACACTTTTGGTTCTTCAGGAACTATATTTTCAATATTTGATTGATAAATCTTTTCTAATGTTACTTGTTCTGAAGTTTTTGGTTGGTTTTTCTCATGCACCTTTCTTTTTCGAGGTACAGAGTCTTTTAAACCAACTGGTCGACCATGCTTCTGATGTATTTGAGATTCATTTGTTACAGTAGATTGTCCTCCAGGGACTTCAATTTTTGCTGGAATATTTTCTACTTGAATATATGACTTTGTCACTTTTCTTATGTCAACAAATACATCAGGTATTTGATTTGCAACTCCTTCCAAATGAATGATTTTTCAACCTCTTGCTCACATTGATTGTTGCGGGGATCAAAGTGAGATAGAGTCGATTCATTCCAAATAATTTTACCTTTTTTTTAGGATGTAGTTTTTCTCTCCCAAAGTTGGGAAAGTCATTTAATCAAAATGACAATCTGCAAAACGTGCAATAAATAAGTCACCAGTTAAAGGCTCAATATATCTAATAATTGATGGTGAATCAAAACCTATATAAATCTCAAGTCTTCTTTGAAGACCCATTTTATTACATTGTGGAGATGAAATAGGGACTTGGACAGCACAACCAAAGACTCGTAAATCTGGTTCATAACCAAATGCCAGTTGCAAAGTTGAATATTGATAATAGACAGTTGATCTAATTGAACCAATAATGTAGCATGTAATATAACATGACCCCTAACAGAAACTGGGAGCTTTGTTTTCATAAGTAATAGCCTAGCAATAAGTTGTAGATGTTTAATAAACGACTCCGCCAAACCATTTTGTATATGGACATGCGCAACCGAATGTTCAATTACAATCCCAATTGATATACAATAATCATCGAATGCTTGTGATCTAAATTCACCAACATTGTCAAGACGAATAGTTTTAATTGAGTAATCGGGAAATTGCGCTCGTAATTTTATAATTTGAGCAAGTAATCTAGCAAATGCTACATTCATTGTGGAAAGTAGGCAAACATGTGACTATCTAGTAGAAGAATTATTAAATACCATAAAATAACAAAATGGTCCACGTGGTGGGTGTATTGGCCTACAAATATCTCCATGAATTCTTTCCAAGAAAGTTGGAGATTCAATATTAACCTTTGTAGTTGAAGGTCTAATGACTAACTTGACCTGCGAACAAGTTACACATGGATAATCATTAGGTAAAAAAATCTTCTGATTTTTTAAAGTCTGTCCATATGAACTGT